CACAGAGGCCTTTTCTTTCCCCATCAACACTCCTCCCTTGACGACGAGAACCAACCATATGGCGTCCTTGGAACAGATCTTGGCACCATGGTTCACGACTGAAGTGATGATCGTGCAGCCTGTTGCGTCGCTGACAGTGGGTTACACTTCTTTACCCATTTGAATACTACTCATGATTTTTTGACCGTGACAGGTTACCTGGTTTGTCTATGGTGAGAAACTTGAATGATTTACCTTCATTTATCACAAGTCCACTTGTAACACGCTTTTTTTTTTCTTTTCAAGGGTTCTACATCGGCCTCTTCATCGTGGCCCTGAACAACCTTTACAAATATCATCCAGCGAACCACAATTTGTATCTGACATGGACGATATTGTTGTTCTTCCTTTGTACACTGAATAATATCGTCGAGACGTGGTATCGAGTTCGACAGGCGATAAAAATTTACACAGGAGAGCATACGAAGGATTACCCACCTTTATTGGCGTATGCTCAGCACGATACAATTAAAACGGTTCAGAGGTACGTCTTTCTTTGAATACTACCCTCCTTTTTCCCAGTCGGTTTTGAAACTGTACAAATAGAGGATTTCTCATGATTTTACCGATTGCGGCAAAGTGAGTTTGTCGACTTTCAATGGGGAACTCGTCACTGACCATCCTTTTGGCAGTCTCGTAGCTGAGACCATGCTGGTGTGTTTCCGCTTTTGATTAATAGTCTTCGATCATACGCGTCCTCACGATTTCCTACTTGTGACTTCAGATTCATCGATGTTATAAAGTGTGGTTCTCAAACAAATGGATGGCTATGATTTTGATATTTCTCTCACTGGCGTTGAACAGTACGTTTGTTTTTTGTGCCTTGCTGTCCCTCGACTAAGTCGCCCACAGGTGTCGGTCTCGCAGGGTGTATCATGTTCACCCAAGGTTTCCACGACACGAGCGTGAAACCCAAGAACGTTCTTCTCCTGCTCAAAGGTAATTCCATCAACAATGGTTATCTGATCGCGAACGCGGTCTTCAACGGTCTTTTGACTGCGTTGACGGGTATGTCGTCTTTCACCCTCACTCGAACTGGTCTAGCCTAATTGACTGTGATCTTACGCCGCGCAGCCGGCCGAATTTACATGATCAGTCGCGAAGCACGGAAGCACCTAGATGCAAAGCTTCACTCTACATATCGAACCGTCGTAGCTATCATGTACGTACGTCCCTGCCGGAGGGGAGGGGTCCTCCGCCTTTTCTAAAACTTGAAATTAACCTCGGATTCCTTTTTTATGGCAGTATCGAATCAGGCTTACTCTACCCAGCTTCTCTCATCGTCTACATCGTCATCCTTTTAAAATTGGATCCCGACAACCAGAGTCTACTTCCTGTCGATCTGAGTCCGTTGTTCATGCAAGCTGCCGTACGTCCCCTTCCTCCGCTTCTTCCTCTATCACGTCGATTAACCGTGGACGATCACTCAACCCAGGGAATCGCACCGACATTGATCATTGTCCGTGCACTCCAAGGGAAAACGACGGATAGCGTCGATCAAGTCGTTTCTGCGAATAATAATCATCACAGAACAGGAAATGGACCTGATCATGTTGTTACGACCGTGAGAAGTGGTAGGATTCAATTTGTAGGTCGGGGAGTGACTGCTACTACGATGACGACGACTAGTGCGACAGGTTTGGGAGAAGAACCTTCTGATTTTCGACATACGACGGTCGATTTACCGAATGAGAATTTGAGTTCTGGTGGGAGTTTGGGGAGTGATGTTGTTGAAAAGGGGCAGGCGGTTTTGGTTACTCGGAATGAGGTGTAGGAAATTGATTATTTTTTTTTTTTTGTATTTTTTGTATTAACTATTATGGTGCGACCACTGGATTCCGCATTTCTACCATTTCTTCCTCATGACTGATTGACCACCGTAACTGGTTTATCGCTATTTTAGCTGTGCTTCGATTTTTCCAGCGATATGTTTGACAAGAGGGAATGAGTGAGAACTGACCCCGACTTTTTTGAGTTTTTTTTGATTGGCATGGATTTAAGGGCTGGCTTTTCAAGGCGGCATTCCGGATAACTGGACCTCATGACAAGAGCTGTCGGGTGCACCGGCACGCAAATAATCTAGATAATCTTCCGGCCTTATCTACCGGTGATATGCCTCTTATAACTACCATCGGCTTGCACGCCGAAATTGAAGATCTCCGAACTGAACCACTTGACGTATTTCCCGTTACCCCATGACTGCAAGCTATATCGTTACGGACGGGATACATATAATGCAGTCGACTTCTACTTGTACCTCTCAACCTGCGCAATCTCTCACCCCAATCAGCTAGTAGATACCAGGAAAGCTGTATCGACAAAATCAGCAACCTTCTGAATCCCCTCGCTATTCACGCCTTAAATTTCGACTCAGACGACTTCTCTGGCCCTTGGAACCTTCCGACACCATGTCATCAATAGAGCCAGACTTGAAAATCGTTGAATCCAAAGAAGACGTTCGGATTGAACATCATAACAAGCCGGAAGACGAGACGCATAGGACTCTATCGGTGGGTGACATCAAAAAAAAACAGCCGTGCTAGTGCTATTGTCGGTTGACTGTTGGATTTTAGAGCAGACATATACAGCTAATAGGAATCGGAGGTATGTAGTAAACTTTTCCTCAACTCTGATTCAATCTTCCAAATGGTTCGGAACAACTTCCAGGCTCGATAGGAACCGCCATTTTCGTGCAAATCGGTGCATCACTAACGCACGGTGGACCTGGGAGTCTTTTTATTGCCTTTACGTTTTGGTCGACTGTCGTTCTCGCTATCAATAACTGTTTAGGTGCGGGGGGTCAGGTCTCATTTGTCGAAGGCCTTTCTCGATAACGCGTTTGTTTGTTTTGTTTTTTTTCCAGCGGAAATGGTCACATGGATGCCCATCTCTTCGCCCTTCATACGCTACGCAGATCACTTTGTGGACTCTGCGCTGGGATTCATCGCCGCAGTGAATTTCTTTATCAACATGGCGATCAACGTACCGTTTGAAATCACGGCGTTTAATCTCACCTTGCATTTCTGGACGGACAAGATCCCGATAGAAGCGGTCATATTTTTTGTTCTTTTGTGTTATATGTACGTGGTATTTCTCACACACGTTCAAAAGTAATGCGGCATGGCCAATATTTTTCGGCTTACTAGACTGTTGAATACATTCGCGGTGAAGCTTTATGGAGGTGAGTAATTTCTTCTTCTGGTTACCACTGGCGCGATTTCACTGATCGAGAATGGTGGGATACAGAGGCAGAATTTTGGCTTGCACTTGGAAAGGTCATTCTAGCTTTCGGTCTGATTCTCTTTACTTTCATCGTGATGGTCGGTGGGAACCCTCTTCACGACGCGTTCGGATTTAGGAATTGGGATCGTGAGTTCCGGATACACCAAACCCGACATGAGAGACTTAGTAACTGACCCAATTAAAATCGTAGCCTCCAAGGTCCAGGTGAAGTGACTCGATTTTACGGCCTGGACGATTCTTACTAATGTGCTTACTCTTTCTCTGCAGGGAGCTCCGTTTGCAGAGTACATCAAGACAGGATCTCAAGGACGATTTCTTGGGTTTTTAAACTGCTCGGTTCAAGCGGCATTTACTGTCGTTGGTGAGTGGTTCTCGAGCAGGATTATCTCCTCCGGCCAGCGTGAATTCGAACTTTTTTCTCTTAATCCCAAGGCCCCGAGTTCATTTCAATGACGGCTGGAGAAGCAGCTCACCCGAGGACGGTTCTCCCCCGGACATTTAAACATACCTACGCTCGACTTTTCATCTTTTTCGTGATCGGTTCGGCGTCTGTGGGTATTTTGGTACCGTACAACGCTCCTGACCTTCTCTCGGCCGCTACGAATCCAAAACCGGGGGCTGGTTCGTCCCCCTATGTGATCGCTATGCGGAGTCTAGGAATTGGAGTGTTACCTCACATTGTCAACGCTCTGATATTGTTGTCGATTTTCTCATGTGGGAATAATTTTGTGTATAGTGCTAGTAGAGTGTTGTTTGGGATGGCATTGGAGGGAAAGTTGGGAGGAAGAGTGAGTAGACGGTTCTGTAGGTGCACTTCTAGAGGAAGTCCGATTTGGTGTGTTGGTGTGACGAGTTTGGTTGGGCTTTTGGCGTTGCTTGGGGTGCAGAATAGTTCTGCTGTTGTTTTGCAGTGGTGAGTTGGGTGTTTGTCGTTCAGTGGGTGGGGTTGAATTTTTCAACGTTAGGTTTGCGGATCTTATTACTGTCTCGTATACGTTCAACTTTTTTTGTATAGCGATTTCGTACCTCCGGTTTTACCATGTCTGTATCCGCAAAGGTTCTTCAGGTTCTCTCATAACGAACTTTTGTCTCCCTCTCTAGGCGCTCAAAGTTCAGAGTATATCTCGGGACACTCTGCCTTATAAAGGACCTTGGCAGCCGTTTTGTGGGTGAGCCAATCACCGGGGTGTGGTCATTCACGATCGTGATTTTCTTTCTCTCTTGCACAGAATATACGCCTTGGCCCTATGCTCCGCTATGCTCGTCATCCAAGCATACTCTGTATTCATGACAGGCAAATGGGACGTCCCAACGGTGATATTCGTATATGCCCTCATCGTAGGGCTTCCTGTTCTCTTTGTGGGGTGGAAACTCAGGATGGGGTCAAAGGTGCGTGGACGGTTGAGCATTTTTTAGACCAGAGTATCAGTGATAATCTTGCAATCGGGACTGAAAATGCGCTTTTTTTTTTTTAGATACGAAGACTTGATGAGATTTCGTTTTTCGCTCAGGAGCGGGGAAAGGTGGATGAGTATGAGATGAATAGTATCGTTGAGAGGAAGGAAGGGAGATGGTTTCATAAGGTCCTTGAATTTATGATGGGAACGTGAATTATTGATACGACGCGAGTTGTTGTTTTTTTACACCAAAATGCCTACAAGATTGGGGTGGGATTTGGATTGTAGGATGAATTGTTAAAAGCCGCGTGATGCACCATTGGTCGCGTAGCGTAATGGTTAACGCGCTAGTTTCCGGTGATTATGTAAGCTAGAGACTGTGGGTTCGAGTCCCACCGTGATCGAGTTTTTGCGGTACTTTTCGAGAAGCTCATTACTTACGTACATAATGAGCAAGTGGGACTCGAACCCACAGAGGAGTCGGGGGTTGGTTAAAGCAGTTTTGTTTTCGTGAATCTCAGCGGCAAGCAAAATTTCTCCGAGCGGTCCGGGACTCGTCAAGGCCGAAGGAAGACTGCTTTGACCAACCTCCCGGGAAGTCACTTTCCACATTCGGAGTGTGCACATGCGCAGCTCGTCCTGTCGAAGAAGACGGCGGGAGCATGTAAAAAAAAAGGTTAAGTCAGCTGCGCTTTTTTTCTATTAGTGGGACCCTTTTTCTCGCCCCTTCACCCTCATTTCTCCCATCCTTTTCTCCGCATCGTGGCAGGCAGTGATGGATCCTAGTACTATCCCCTCCGGCTCAGCGACCTCAATGGACAACCTGGCTGACGATGTCCAATCGTTGACACTGAATTCATCAAATGGGAAACAAAAGAACGACAGCCAAGCGACGAAGCTCTCAGACGACGTTCTCGTCGTCGATACAGAACAAGCCTTTTCAAGTGCCGTTCTGGAGCTACAACAATTCCCCACATGGATCGTAGATTGCGAAGGATTCAATCTAGGTTCAGAAGGCGGCGAACTGTCTATTCTCTCCGTCCGGGGCATATCTTCGCGAATTGACCTTCCACCCAAAACGTTCTTGATCGACGTTGTCCTCCTTACAGGTGGCCCCCCAGAAACGAATTGCTCGTTACGGCCCCTTTTCGATCTTTTAGAATCCCCATCGATCACAAAGGTGTTTTGGGATGGTCGGATGGATTTTTGCGCTATTTATTTTGGGTATGGGGTTGAGGTGAACACCGTGGTGGATCTTCAGGTAGTAGAGATGAGAAGGAGAATCACTGGGGAGAATTTTCAGAAACAGTTACAGCGCCTCATGCGATTTTTCGCTCCTCGTGAACTACAAAACCCCCGAAAGAACAGAAAGTACGCTCATATTCACGTATTGCAGGGGTTAGGAGGGTGTTTGATGGAGAATAAGGTGGAGGTGAAAACGCCAAAAGGGTCAGGTATGTCCCCTTGTCTAGATGTATTATGGCCCCTGAGGCCTGATGACTTGCTGCGCAGTTGACCATGATTCATGGATGATCAGACCTCTTTCGGATATTCATCTGTTCTACGCTGCGAACGATGTATATCTGATAGGACTCTTGCTTTCTCATTTTGAAGAACGAGAGTTTATTGACGATGAGATCTTGATGCAGAGTCAACGGTACATCACCGTATGGAAAGATCAACAGCCAGAAGAAGGCGATGTGTTTCGGTCGAATCCATTTTTCGCGTTGGAGATCCTCGAATATGATGAAGATTCGGATAGAAAAGAGTGTAGTGGATGTAGGAGGTATTTGAGTCAGTTGTCGTATCCGTATGAGTTGTGGAATGAGGGCGCGGGGAAGCGTTATTGCCACATTTGTAGTCTGATACCGATTTGGCAGAGGCGGGAGAGGTTCTTTGCTGATCTGAAAGCGAAGAAGAAAGAGGAGCAGGAGAATAAGAGGATTGAAGAGGAGCAGAAGAAGCAGGAAAAAAGGAAGAAGCAGGTTCAGGAAGGGAGAAAAAGGACGGAGACGGGAAGCAAACAGGGATCGCAGATAACTGAGAATCCGGAAGACACGGCGAATAACCTCAGCGGAGCCCAGTATGACTCTCTCCCGCCTTCTGCGGGAAATCCGGAACCCACAAACAAAAATGCGCCGGAGGATCGAATTGAGTTTGTACAAGATGGACAGCCAGGTGTCAATAGAAACCAGCGAGGAAGCAACAGAGGCAGATGGGTTAGGGGGAGAGGAAGAGCCACTCGCCGAACAAGTGGGACGGAGCGTGAAACAGAGGTACCACGGAACGGAGTCGGCGACGATACACAGAGTCCTCGTGGAGGCGGTAGGGGCTATGGACGGAGACCTAGAAGCGCTGCTCGCGTCCCGAGAGGTCGTGCGTTCACGTCAAGAGGTACTGGTGGTAGACCCTCAGGAAACTCCATGGTTCTACTCACAGCAAATGAACAATCCGTTCCTGGTGGAAGTGCTATCGTCGCAGCCGCCGAGCAACAGAGTCCTGTAGTTACAAGTAGAGGTCGGGGTAGCGGCGGTTTCAATGGTATAACTAGAGGAAGGGGCGGAGGAAGAGCCAGAGGAAGGGGTGGACAATCTGTTCCTAGTGGAAGTGTTACCGCCGAGTCGGATTCACGACAGAATATCGTGGCAAGTTCCCGAGGTCGAGGTTCTACAGGTGGTGCTCCCCGGGGTAGGACTGCACCGAGGGTTAGAGGAAGAGGTTCTGTCTCGGTGGTAGCGAGCTGAAGAAGTGGTGTCAGCTTTCGACGAGGATGAGTCCGTTCTCTATGGTATTCAGAGATTACACGCAATCAGTGATCTGGTAATGCCTGAGCTATAAAGCAAAGTGCACTTTAAGTTTCTAAACCTAGCGAATGAAACCACCAAAAACTGAGTACTGAGTACTGGGGGAGTGGACGAAAGTGAACGCGTCGTTGTTCCCTGGAGACCCGGCCAAATCCGAACTCCGGCCTTCCGAAATTCCCAGGCTGAGGTAATACACGACGAATCTCCCACCAGTCGCGGTTTCTTCAACACCATCACCCTCAGATTTCACATAACATAGAATCTCTCAGGTTTCCACTAGTACACCTCCACGAGAAAAGGGAACTCAATGATAACCCATCCTGTATTCCCAGCTTCCAGTTGAAAAGCCCTCAACCACACGCTCAACGACCTAATCAAGGTTTCCATAGATCGTCATCATGAGCCCATCCGAGCTGCAGAAATAAATCCTTCATCCCGAACTACCACAATTGGCATTGTAGGAGCGGGCATAGCAGGTTTGGCTACTTATATTTCTTTGTGTCGCCTTCCCGGTGTGTCTGTGCATGTATTCGAGCAAGCGGCCGAACTGCGCGAAGTAAGTAACTCAAACAGATGGATAACTAAGATTTTCAGTTCTAACATATCTTGGGACTGTCAGGTTGGCGCATCGATAGCGCTTGGACCGAATGGACTTCGTGGTCTAGAGGAAATCGGCGTACCAGAAGCTTTGAGCGACGATGTTGGTTTTCGGAGTGATCATGGAATTCCGCACGTTTTTCAGTGCGTATTTTTCTTCATCCGCGCTCTATTGACTGAATTCTTTTTTTTTTTGTTCTGTCGGATTGTCAAAGACACTGGAAGACTGGAGAAATTCTTGCAAATCAGAAACATTCATCAGGTGTTACGGAACGTCGACACAACACTTCGCGCTTTTTCCGACCTCATTTGATAAACGTTTTGGCCCATCATGTACCTCCGGAACATCTACACCTTGGAGAGAGGCTTGTTGGTATCGAATTTGAGTCTAGCGGTCGTCCTGTCCTCAAGTTTGAAGATGGCCAAGTCTTTCCGGCTGACCTCGTCATAGGCGCAGATGGAATCAAGTCGGTGAGTAACCAGAAGCAGCTGCAACAATGCCTTTTTTTTTCTCAGCAGGGTTGTGGTAGCGCGTCAGGGGAACCTATATACTTAACTTCAAGCTTCAACACACAGGGCAGATATGGCTACGAGCAGTCTTCCCTATATCACGCCTCTCAGGCTTGGACCTTCCTCAGATCCAGAATACGATACACACCGTTGGTCCAGATCGCACATTTTTTTCTTCTGCACTGGGTTAGTATTTCTCTTTTTGATCCAAAACTTAACTTATTGTCATCAGCAAATGACCTGTTCACTGTTGTTACCAGCAAATATGAGGATTTGGAGAGTCCCATTTGGAGAGACAAGCAATGGGACCAAGAAGCTGAACTGGACCGTTTTCGTTCTTATTTTGAAAAGGTGCGAACTTGTCCCAAAAATTGTTATCATTGAGGATGATGAATTGTTTTCTAGGACTGGAATCCCACCATTCGTGCTCTCGCTTCGCGAACTGAAAATCTTCGTGTGTACCCTTCAATAAGTGCAGATGAAATCCCCAATGCGACATGGCGAAATCGTATCGTGTTGGTGGGTGATGCCTTTCATCCTTTTGGTGGAGCCTTTGCGGCTGGTGGTAGCATGGCCATTGACGATGCGGTCGCACTCTATCTCGCTCTTTCACATACACAAGGGGATTTGCCTAAGGCGTTGGAACTGTACGAAGCTACTCGAAGGCCACATGTGTTGAGAGTGATGGAAAGTGTGAAAGCGAGTCGGAAGAATGGTGGGAAGTGGATGGACGAGGAGAAGATTAGGGAATTTGCGAGGACTAGGCAGGATGGGTATGGTGCTTGGCTACACGAACATGATGTTCATGAGGCATTTAGGGTGGCTCTTGTTGAACGTTCCAAGTAGGGAGAAACTGATAGATTTCTTTTTTTTATGATTGATGGGTTTGGGGAATGCTTGGACAGTACATGAGACGCCGTCGTGCTTTTGATTCTCGATGAGTGCGTCTGTCTCGAAAGACTGTGACTTGAGCATCTTTTCAATCCAGTCCTGTGGCTTTGAAATTGGATTTGTTTCGGGATGAACGTTCGTTGAAGACCCTGTTCTAAATTAAATTTTTTCCGAGTTGAAGATTAATATGAATGTTCGCCGTTGCCTTTTGGGTTTTGTGGTATGTGGAATCTGGGTTTGACAGCGTAAGTACAATCTGAACCTTGCCACCAGCTTATCCATTCAAACTCGTCGTCTCTAGTGAATTTTAACGGGATAATTTCACGTCGCCGATTGGCTATCGTGACGTTGACAAGCCCCCGCAGCCGTCGTGTCTAGTCTCATTGTAACCTAAAAATACCGAACAAAGTCAATAGGTGGGCATGATTTAGCTGTCTATCATGGTTTTGGCCTGTCAATTTGAAGATTCAGAAAACCGCATGACCTTGGTTCTTTGGACTGTCAACGGACTCACATTTACCAAAGTCGGGAATCCATAAGTCATGAAGGCCAAGTGATATCATAACAACTCTTTAAATTTGATCTTCTACTCAGACTCTCAG